TCAGGGCCGACCTCTCCTCCCAAGTAAGCGTCGACCATTGGGGCTGCCGTAGAGATGTCCTCGGCCCCCGTAGCTCAACAAGAAATGGAAGACCCCCAGGGATTCGCACAAAGAAGAACGACTCCTTCTAGTGCTTCATAGAACAAGGGGCCCCAACCAACGATCGAATATTCCGCTGGGTGGAGAAGTAATAGTACCCCTGCTAGTGGTGTTTCATTTTGAGCATAAAGCTCACCATCCCTAGAGTTAGTTCGATATCGTGGAAGGCACAATAGGACATAAAGCTGATAAAAAATATAAAGGAGTTCGGCAACAACTGCATTGGCAACACCCTGTACCAATTTAGCACCTCGCCGAACCCCTCGCTTATTGGGAACCTTAGCCCAGCCTCTAAGTTGTGTTCATAAACACATAGCTCACTGAGCTAAGCATCAGTGACCATCTCCCCGGGCACAGGACACCTCATTTGGTATTCTACGGGAACGGCATACGTAGCTCGGATCTTAGCCATATCCCTGGGCGTCAATTTCGGTAGCCATGAAGTCTCTCAACTCARGCTCATAGGTTGAGCCACGAGAAGAGCTGGAACTTGAACTACTTGAGGACCCAGATGAGAAAGAGGAACGACGAGATGAAGAGGACATACCGGGCAATTTGCGGAGCTGAAGAATGAAAGCTACTGAGCTATCCATCGAGCTGTCTACCAAGCTATCTGCCAAACTGTGTGACCGATGAATCTGTCGAGCAGTGGATGCCAAACCCTTGCAAGCGATACTGAGGATAGCGAGGGGGCCCTTTTCCCTTTTATTACTATCAAGGGCACAAACCGATGAGAGATCAATGGTGTAGATGAAGCACCCCTAACAATGCCTCAGAAGACCAATCAATGCTACCAATAACGTATGACAGGAAGCCTTAGAAACTGAAGCGACACCTTTGGCAGGCAGCAGTTGCACGCATTAATTGCACCGGTTCAACTACTGTATCGGTCCAACCTTCGACGCGGAGACCTGCCGTATTGGTATAGCCTTCGATACAAATCCTCAGCTAGGCCACTCAAATCTTCGGACTAAGTAGCTTAGGCCACAAGGCCGCACAATAGTCTGGCCGAGCATTCCCCCTCTCGATAGTTAAACTAGGGGAGTGGACCAACATTAATAACAAATTCATTTACATACGTTATTTTTATTTGATATATATGATGAATATGTAATAATTTCATGCATACACACATGGCGATTAGTTTCTCATCTAAGTCCTTTTTTTTCGTTAAAATAAAAAAAAGTGCTACACAAGATTAGGGCTGTCGCTCAATCCCAAAGTTTAAACCAATATATGAATTCTATAAGACTGGAGGGAGGAAGACGAGTTGGTGAGGGGGGGATATGACAATAAGCAAATCTCTTTCTATATAGATGGCTTGATTCCTGAAATTTAGTGCCATTTCTGAGCTTTTATGCAGCCCCATGCATAGCAGTGGAATTGATAGGATAGGCTTTCTCGTCCAAAACTTCTCCAAGAGATTTCTGGCTAAACACACACTCATAGTACATGACCCATCCTCTTTGGAATGCGTTAAAATTAATTTTGATCATCCTCCATTTATAAGTTAGGGGTCGTTTGACAAATCTTTTTTAGAAAGATTTTCTAGTAGTTATGACATCTAAAAGATGCATTTTGCATTAAGATTTGAGCAGTTTAAAGTTTGTTTGGTTAAGGGATGTTTTTTCATTAAAAGAAAAATAGAAAAAAAAAAGTATAAAAGTTCCACTTGGAATTTTCAAAAATTCACCTGTTTTGGGCTTTCCGCATCTTTTCGATGCATTAGCTTTTGATAATTAAACCTATCACAAACCAAATAAAAAAAGACTAAATCACAATCTACTGGACTTATAAATAAACGACAAACTGCACGAAAAAATGCACCAAACGGAGCCTTAATTGCATTTAAACTTGTGAGCTGGAAAGAGAAAGGCCCTGCATGCCCTCTATCAATCAAACAGCCTCGGGTGGAATCTCCAAATTATCTTGTCTTCTTTTGGGTTTGAAGGGAGGRAGATGGTTTTTATTTTTCTCCAAACATGACTAGGAACTAAATTATGAATTTGGCTTTCCTTCCATACCATTCTTTCTTGGTTGATACAGTCTCCCACTTTTAGCTCTTCTGACTGGATCTATTTTGTCATTTCTCTATAGTAGAATCCCCCACTCACCTGTTCTAAAAATTTATCAATCTTCCATTTCCAACGGTCTACCCCATTCCTCTTCTGAATAGAGTATTTTATTATTAATTATTATATATGAATGAGTTAAAATCTATTTTTTTAAAACCTTTTATTTTTCTTTACTTTAAACACAAACAAATAGACAAAGTGCACTCGGGTTAAATCCAAATTCGATCCAATTCCAATATATCGAATTCAAATTTGGAGTTTCAATGATTAGATAGAGTTCAAATGTGTTGGACCCAATCCGAATCCAACCCAAATACAACGTCAAAGACATGGRCAATTTTTTCTATAAATTTATTTTTTGTATTTTTATATGTTTATTAAAATTTTATATTTTTATTATAATTTTTATGATGTTACAGGCCCAATTGGRCCCGTAAATTCCAAAACCCTCATTTCCCAAGTAATTGAGAATTGGAATCTGCTCCTTACACAGGGTTTCTTGCAACAACCTCACAAGCACATCCTACATTTCCAGTACTTATGTGTTTATTATTAACGGAAGATATTCCCAATGCATGGTGGGATGCGTTAGTGTGGTCATTGTGAGGTGCCATGTGTGAGGAACAGATCCGGTCCCAATACTCCATTAGCCATTTAGCCATTGGACCTAAGATGCCTCGAGTCATTAGACCTTCTATCCTAAGATGCCTTGCATTGAGAGTATCTCCTCATAAAATAAAGTACATAAATGTGGAGATATTCGCAATGCAATGCTCTTTTGACTGAAGCCAGGCATAATTTTCAATAATTATAGAAACACCCCTCTATCATAAGCCAAGAAATTACTGAAACACCCCTTCTTTTTTCAAACCTTTCTTCTGAAAAATTTACAGAAGCACCCCTCCCTCCTTTGAGCCTTTTCCTGGAGAATATCCAAAACATTCTTCCATTCTTAAAAATCATTTTTGTTCTAAATCCCTCCATCATTCATATTTTCCCTAAAATTACTAAAATATCCCTTTACTTTTAAACCCATTTTTGAAAGAATTATAAACCCCCTCCTCAAATACTCCACCACTTTTAAACCCATCTCCAAACTGCACTTGAGGCGATCTCATCCATTCTAGAACCCTCCCTATTGATAGACATTTTAATTAATGATAATTGAATTCCTAAAGTTTCTTGCAATTAATTAATGATAATTTCGTAGCTAATGCCTTGTTGTTACTTTTTATCTTTTAAGATTAAAAAACAACTTAGCGGAATATAAGAGTGGAGAGCGGCTGTCGAGTTGGACAACTGCATTCTAGGTTAATGGTTGTGGGATCATCATTTTCTATTTAAAAATGCCATGTCCACATAAGATTTATATTATGTCTAGTAGTAAAGTTAGTTTCAATGTTTTCATATTTAATAAAGAGCAGCAGGTTCAAGTCTCAAGGAAGTTATTTACAACTCATTTAATTTATGATATAAAATATTAGTTATTTATAATTCATTATATTTATAATACGTAATATTTTCATTATTTTAACTTTATTTAATATCCAAATTCAATTTGAAATCATCTTATTTAAATTAGACAAAATTTAGGATTGCAACTTAGTTGGGTTGGGTCGGGTTGAGGGTCAGCCCATACCCTAAGGTTCAAACCTTGGATTTGGGCAYAATCCAACTTAGGCCCAACCTAAGCTTAACCCAACCCAACTTGGGCTGGGCTGGGCTCAGGCTTGAGTCAGTCTCGAATGGGCTGGCCAGTTTATTAATTTCTTTTGCACATCTGTTTTTTCTTATTATTGGGACTTATAGTCCAATTTATGAGTTAAGAATGCATTAAAAATATGTASAAGTGATAGTAATAAATGCAAAACAAGGCTAAATCAACCGTAGAGAAAGAGACAAGACCTATGTGGGTTAATTTTGGTCTTAATGGTTCCCAACCAATCAGATAAATTAGCCACGGAGATTTCTCCACCTGGAGTAGCRTAGGTTTTGCGAGGAAGCTCCCTTCTTGTGAAGGTGCCAGCTGACCCAGTTCTACTTCTACAGTTCTACCAGCTTATCTTTCAAAAAATCTCTTCTACTTTGTTTTGATTTTAATTGACAATGGATATAATTAACATTTAACAGGAATAAGGGGCCTGCTTTCACTTAACATACAACCACATGTGATGGGCCCAATATATTAACACAGAAGTTATTTAATTTCCATATGGGCCCCCAAAAGATATGGTCTACTCTATTTGATCCTTGGAGATATATGAGCCCTCAGAGGATTTTTCATAACCACGGTGAACTCCATTTTCTCAGACAAATCGATTTCTTCTCCATCGCCAGCCGTCCACTCAAAATCCCTGATCAAATTGGCTACAAAATACTCGAGATGAAGCAAGGCCAATCCAAGAGCAGGGCAGATCCTCCTTCCAGCACCAAACGGCATCATCTTAATCTCCCTGGTCCCCGTTATATC